TTGTGCAGTATCTGCATCGGGTTCGATGTTGCGCAGACGCGGGCCGTCCGCCACCGAGTCGCCACTTCCCTATTGTATTCCCTAAATATATGAGCGAGGAATACATCGGGGTCAGGGTCCGAGAAAGTTGAATTCACTCAGACCGGAAACAGAGTAGCAGTAGTATGTTTTCCGGCTCTGAGTTATCCTCCGGTACTTGACTCTAATCAGGCTCAGTGGGGAACGATAGAGTAAAAAGATGAAGTTAGACCGGCACTAGTGACTGGGGCCTGAGTCGAATAGGCGACTTTTGCAGACCATGTCCAAAGGTGCTAGATTGTGCAGATGCGGGCCGTGCGCTACCAAGTCTGTATGCACCTCTCATTTGCATTGAATAAATAGAGCTCTCAGGTGTGGGACATGCATCCGGGGATGATGGAGCAAAAGCGGATTCAAAGCACCTATGACTCGGGCCTCAGTCGAACAGGCGACTTCTGTAGAATATTCTAGTCGTCGAAGGAGTCCTATATATTATGCAGATGCGGACCGTCCGCTACTGAGTCGGTATTGCGCTTTACCCTGCACTTGATAAATAAATACTTCACCAGTCCGTACAATGGGTAAAATGACACGGTACTGCGCAGTCATGACTGGCCTGAGTCGAACAGGCGGCTTCTGCAGAAGAGACTCGGCGAAAGATTAATGGTGCAGATGCGGGCCATCCGCCACCGAGTCAGTATACAGGTGGTGCGTGCGGTGGATTTATAAAAGCGTGAGCGAGCACTGAGCAGAATTTCCCACATGAAAATCGAGTTCTGGCTCTCAAGATCTCACGAGGTGTAACCATTTATTCATTTTTCACATCCGACTTGCGGTCGAGTCTCTCTTGGGTCCCCGCCCTCCGCAGTGCACCCCACCCGCAGCACACCCGCCCACAACGCCGCGCACACCCGCCGCACGCGGGTGGGGAAGAGAGGTATGTATCGAGCTTGTGCGGGAAGATAGAGGCAACAAATAGTAATGAAATGCGAAGTGAAATGTGAGCTCAGTCTTCCGCCAGTGTATGCTATGCGTCCATCCAGCGGGTGCCAGACAACGACGAGGGAAGGCGCGGGGTTCACAGCGCGTACGGATGAGGGTGGAGAAACAAGAACCCCCGGAAGCGGGAATGGATGTCTCGCGAAATGGCGAGACAGCCAAAGTGCCACTGCTCCGCCCTCTCGCAGCAGGATCAAAATTCCAGCGATATCGCCGACATCTGCGAGCTCCGCATGAAGAGGTGTAGCACACGAAGCATGCTGCACGAAACTCGAAGGGCAAGGGCACAAAGCTCAGATGTGCAGCGGGTAGAGCGCGTCAAAGAAGGCTGGGGCAACGTCCGCGCATCGGCAGGCAAGTGGGGGACCGCGACGCACAACCTCCACCGTGTAGAGAAATGCCCCCTCTGCAGAGCCTCTGGCGCCGCAACATGCAAGAGAGAACCCTAAAGATTCCGCATCCCGAAAATCGGGGGAAAAAAAAAGGAAAGAAAAGATAGGCCAAAAAATCGCCACTCACCCACGAAACAACTCCCCACTTCCACCGCAGTGTGTGGCCCTAGCCAGCGTGAGCAGCGGAGCCGCCGAGAAAGGACCGGTGATGCAGCGGTGCTTGAGGACAGACTGTGTGTCATAGTCCTCATACTGCTGCGCTTGGGCTTGGGCCGCGCCTTCGTGCGCAGCGCGTGCTGTGGTGCTGCGCTTGATGCGCGGTGGTCGTGGGTGGTGGCGATGGAGGAAGAGTTGCAGGCGGTGGAGAGCCGGTCTCCCCGAAAGGAGCACGGCCCGCAGCTGATGGGGGTCTGTGAAGATAGGGTGTTAGGGTCGCACATACTAGTAAAGAGAGACCGAAGAGGAGAGGGAAGGAGAACGGAGGGAAAGAACAGTGGGGGTTGGGTGGACGGAAGAGCGGTGCGTGTGGCGCGCAAATGAGAACGAGCGGAGTCAAGGCGCAAGCACCAAGCATACGCAGTCAGCGATGGGGTGAAAGTACGGTGGGCTTTGACGTACGAGGGACCGCAGCAATAGCGAGGGCCGGGTGCGAGAGCGAGGAGGGAGGGAAGCGGAGCTCGAGTGGGAAACAGATCGTGTAAGAGATGTACTAGGATACAGAAAATTTTGTAAGTAGGACAGGGGACGAAATGGAAGATCCCGATCTGCAACTAAACCAGTATGCGCAGGCCAAACTAAACCCGAGGCGGGAACGGGCGACGGAATCGGTGACTAGGACGAGGGTATTGGGTGACGAGGGAGCAACGGCGGCGTAAAGTGATGGTAGCGAGAAGCAACGTGCGACGTGTGAGGTCGTGTTTGATATGCTCGGGAAATGCCGATTTGCGAACGCAGGCACAGGGAGCAGAGGTGAGGAAGGATGGACGACGACGAAGGGAAGCGTGAACCGGGTGGTAGAGCTGGAAGAATAGTGCTAGCGTGAATGAAAAGACAGGACTAAGGAGGGTGGATCATAGCCAAGCACAAAAATGCCGGAGCGTGCGCGAAGGAATAAAGAGGAAAGGATGGCGAAGAAGAGTGGATGGTGAGAGCGTGTATGAAATAAGGGAGTCCAACGGGAATGGAAAAAGGTCCGTGCGACAAGGCCAAGTCCATTGCAAAGACGAAAGGAAAAGACGAGCCAAAAAACTCACCTCATCCAGATTCATATACGCCCCTCAGCGCCCTCGTACCCGTCGACGTCCCGTTACGCGGAGAACTGTGGGTGTAAACGGGGCGCAGACGAGAGTTGCGTTGCGCACCGGAAATGGAGGAGGGTCGACGTGCATATGAAGGAGCGGGCGTCTGCGATGCGTGTAAGGCACCAGCGCGCGAATGAGGAAACCAATGCGCGAAGGAGGAAGGCTTTCGATTGTGAATAGATACAAAACGGACCGTCCCCTGAGCGCGCGTGTCCACGCCCGACGTAGAATGCCTCCAAAGACGGGATCTACCCTCCCGCCCCGTGTACGAGCACACATCGCCCTGGGCGTCTCTGCGCCTAGACGACGCGGAGGCGGGCGTGCTCGCGACTACTACTCTGCATCCGGGGTCGGTGGGGCGGCAGAATGCAGAGAGGGGTGTATGCGCGAGACGGAGTGGTGTGGCGGTGGACGTGATCGTGTAAGCGATGAAGCTGATGTACAGTGGCGGGTGCGTCTATGGGACGATTGCGGGAAAGTCGGTGTCAATGGGACGATGGTCCCTGGGCTACAAGCGGACATCCATTGAATTGGAACAGAGTTGAGGGCAGCTCGAACGGTGAATGGGCTTAGGGTTAGCGATGGAAGGAGTCCTTGACGTGGTGGTGGACCCGACATCGTCAGAGATCATGATGAGGTTGATTGATGCGATTGATTGACAGCCTGCGTTCCCGTGAACGACTCTAGGTCTGGTTCAAGCAATGTTCAAGTCGACACTCTCAACATCGACAACTAACCACCCTTGGTTTCGGCTTCAGTAGGCCTTTGGCCGGCCTCGATGGCAAGACTTCACCTGGACAGATTTTTATAATCCTTACAGCTGATCTCGAATCTAATGAGACAGCCAGAATTTATTTTTTCGCGTTCCCAAAAAGGGAGGTTTGGTCAACCATTCCTAATCCATTCAATAATTACACGAGAGTGAGTGCCTTGCCTGAAACTAGGCTGCTATGTGCTCAAAAGGGCATAGGAAAGCGAGAGTATGTGCCATTGGCAGAAACAATCCGTGCGATCAATGCAGCACGTGACTGTCGGGTGTCTCCGGAAATCATCGTTTCCGCTTGGTTTCGGCCAATTTCGCAGGATGGGCTGCCTCAGGGAGATCACAAATCATTTTAGTACCCTGAAATTTTGTCCCAGGTATTTGTGGAGGGAGGTACACTAGGGTTTCGCTCGAGTTTCCTTTTTGGGAACGAACAAAAAAAAAACTGATCGATCTCATTAGTTTCGAGATCAGCTGTAAGATTCCATTCCTTACAAGTATTGTTAGGGCTGTGTGCACGACCCGTTCCGTCGAGGGTTGGAATTCTTTTTCCAACGGGACGGATTACAGAGTCGCCGGCCGTTGCCCGCTGTTGGCGACGGTTCTGATGGCAAAAACCACCGAAATCTTCTCATATTTTGACGAATTTTGGCCCCAGAATCGGCGCCCAAACCTCCTGGAATTTTTGCACACTAGCTTGTTGGCTCTTGCAGGCGTCAGCTCCCCTCATGATGGCATCGCCGTTTCGTTGTCGTTGAGCATCAACTACCATTTTGGGCCGTCTTGGAGATCCGGTCTTCAACTTTGCTTAATTCTTCCTCGAACGAGGTGACGCATCACAGACATGCAGAGAATCAAACCGCGATCCCAGTCTGCTTTCTGGCCTCTTTTTCTGGGGGGAAAAATATCATCAACACAACTTTCAGCTCCGTTTGACGGTGAAACTTCGACTTCCCGAAAGGCCCTAATTCAGCTTGAACTTCTAGGTGACTCGGGCCTGGGTCGAGCAGGCGCCCTGCCGACTATCGAACCGAATTAGTGCAGATGCGGGCCCTCCGCCACCGAATCGGTGGTAAACTGCGATGTACACTTAAAGAATTCCGTCGTAAGCGAGACTTGGGCTTGGGAACGGCAGAGAAAAAACAGAAGGACAGATCACTGACAATAATGACTCGGGCCTGAGTCGAACAGGCGAATTCTACAGACCATGTCCAAAGGTGCCAGATTGTGCAGATACGGACCGTCCGCTACCGAGTCTGTATCCACCTCTCATCTGCCCTGAATAAATAGAGCTCTCAGGCGTGGGACATGCATCCGGGGATGATGGAGCAAAAACGGAATCAAAGCACCTATGACTCGGGCCTGAGTCGAGCAGGCGAAATCTGCAGAACAGGGTGGAAGAAGCTCGTGTATAGCAGATGCGGACCTTTCGCCACCGAGTCGGTATTGCGCTTTAATCTGCATTTGATAAATAAATACCTCATCAGTCCGAGGACGATAGATAAAAAAGGATGGAACAGAAGGCAGTGACTCGGGCCTGAGTTGAACAGGCGACTTCTGCAGAATATTGTAGTCGTCGAAGGAGGCCTATATATTATGCAGATGCGGACCGTCCGCTACCGAGTCGGTATTGCGCTTTACCCTGCACTTGATAAATCAATACCTCATCAGTCCGAGGACGATTTGAGGATGATAGATAAAAAGGGATGGGAGAGAATATAGTGACTCGGGCCTGAGTCGAACAGGCGACTTCTGCAGAATATTGGGGCTATCGAACCAGTATATATTATACAGATGCGGGCCTTCCGCTACCGGGTCGGTATACAGGTGGTGTGGGCCTTGGATTTATGAGAGCGCGAGTGAATACTGAGCAGACATCCCCAAATGAAAATCAAGACCTCGCTCTCGCGGGCTGTGATCATTCATTCATTCGCACATCCCACTTGCGGACGAGTCTCCTGTGACTCCCCACACTCCTCAGTGCATCCCGCCCGCAGCGCGTCCGCCCACAACGCCTCGCACAGCCGCTGGTCCGTGCACATCCACGTGGCTCGCCCGCGTGAGGTGACCGTTACTCGTTACCGTGACCCACTTTAGAGCAAGGGGCCGACCTATAAGATCTGGTGCGTCTTCCCGAGGGTGTGTGCAGGAATTGTGTGCTGACAGGTTTTATGTAGCCAGAACTGTACGTCCCTTTGACGCTAAGGCGAACGCGGACACGGATTCTGATGCGTGTGTTTTTCAGGCCGGCGCGAGGGCCACTTCACGCGCGAGTGCAAGGAGCCGGTCGTCTGTGTTGCGTGCGGGCAGGAGGGCCACCAGGTGAGTTTCCCCTCGGCGTGGTAGCGTTGCCGTCACCTGACGCCGAGTTTACCTCACAGCGCAAGGTCTGCCCTATGACGGTTCGTTTGTACAAATAAAGATTTGCGCGCGCGCATGTAATTTAGCGCGCGCGCGACTGGTGGCAGTAGGTATGGAGAAGAATCATATGATTACAGATGATTACTATCTAGTACCTGTCTAATACATGCCCAAAAAGTCCTCTATGTCGAGCTTGGGGGTAAGTATCAAGAACACATTCACGCCAAATTCACGCCCCGCCTGGGGTTACTTACATGAATTCTGAAGGTGGCAGAGGCCCGGGGGGCGGAGCCCCGGGGCTAGTCCTGGCTAGTCAAGGGATTCGGGTTGATGTAAACCGCTCAGATGAAAGGGACAGCGGAATCCTTCGCCAAGCGAGGTAAAAACTTACCTGTGATCGCCGATTCGCCTCTATCCAAAAGACGGCGGGAAATCGATGGCCACGGAAGCCCTGGTGCAGGTCAGGCCCCAGACACACGTGTCTGGAAGCTCGAGGACGGCCATGACGAGAGGGTCGGGCGACGGGCGACGGACGATGGGAGTCCGGGAGGAGACGGGCGGAGAAAATTAAAAGGATGATGGGAAGAGGTGCAGATCACTGCCGGCTTGTTCCGATCGTGGGAGTGTTTGCCCTCGCTTCGGCTAGGCCCTTAGCCGTTGGCCGCGTCACCACCTTTTTGTCCTCTCCCCACATCACAGCACATCACCCACCGCCCACGCCGACATCGCTCTCGACGCACACCAGCCGCTGGCGTGTGGCTGTACTTCTTTGCCTGAAGATGCCGCCGGCTTCACATCCCCTCACTCGACACCATCGACGTAGCTTGGTGATGGTTTGCAGCTGCAGAATCCAAATCGGTTTAGCCAGCGCTCACATGGCAGGCCGGGGTTTAGCTTAGCTTAGTAATATTTACGTACCTTACGTAGCACCTGATAATACCAAGAAACCCCTTATATTATAAGGAGGTATACCCCCCTAACCTGCCTTTAATATAAGGTGTTTTAAGGTTTTTCCATACCACCAATATCCCACCTATACCTCTTCGTTTTCCACCACTTTTCTGAGGGGTTTCGGTGGAAATTTTTTTGATTTTGAGGGCTGCATAGTACCATTACATTGCATCTAATGGGGGGGTACAACATAGTCAGTAAATTTTGTAATGAAATTTTGTACCACCGTACCACCGGTACCACCGAGCACCCTTACATGAGTCAGTAATATTTTGTGACCCGCGCAAGCTTCCACCATTACCACCAAGTGGTCTAACAGAGTCAGTAGTCTTTTGTGACCTTCGTAAGCTTCCACCATTTCCACCAAGTGATTTAAGAGAGTCAGTAAATCTTTGTGACTCGCATAAATTTCCACCCTTACCACCGCCCCCGTTAAGAGGGTCACAAAAGTTACTGACCATCGTAAATTTCCACCGGTACCACAGGTTGGTTGACGAGGGTCAGTAAATTTGTTACTCCTCTACGCTACCCCACTTACCACCAATAGCATTGAGGGTGTGACTTAGCAGATTCCGCATCCACCCATTTCCACCAGTACCACCAATAGGGCCACCAAGATGCCGCGAATTTACTATTTCCCCTGTTACCACCAATACTTCAGCCCGCGTGACTTAGCAGAATTGCCGGCCACCACTTCCACCACTACCACCTGTAGCGCTGCCATGCCGCCACAGCTTTGCTATTTCCCCCGTTACCACTGATATCTCAGACAGTATGACTTGTTTCCACAGTTTCCACCATATGCAGACTACAGTACCATCATTACCACCATCAACCAATTATCTACTCAACAACGCCAGAATCAGATGCGACACCTAGCACCGTCTCCAGCATCTCCGAAAGTTCCTCATCTTCTGCCTCCTCCCCGATGTAGTCCTCCCAGGTGTCCTCCTCCTCCTCCTTGCCCAATCTTTCCACCAACTCCCGTAACTCTTCAGCTTCCGCCTCGTCATCATCATCATCCATCCCCTCCATCCCCCTACCTGTCTGGATAGGGCCCCGGATCCGTTCCCCCGGCTGGAGTGTTCCTGTGAATCGTTGTCCCAGCTTTTTCTGCATCGCCACGAGACGCTGGATGTGGCCCGCGTTGAAGCGTCCACGCTTCCACTGGTACTGGCGGACGAAGTACGCTAGATCTGGGTCCGTGCGTTCCATTAGTTCCGCCCGGCTATCCAGGATCTCCTTCTCGTCCCGAATGTACGTCACAAGGCGCCAAATCTCCACATTCAGACGCTCAATCTCCTCCCTTGCACGCTCGATCTTGAAGTAGATGTCCAGAACAAGTCTTGCAGCCGGCGTAGCCCATGGAAGAAGCTGGGCGTTGCCTTCTGGGTCTCGAAGAAGGTCCCATTCGGAAAGGAAGGTGTAGTCGATAACTTCGGTCCAGGTCAGGCTTCGTGCGGGTGGAACAAGGGCCGCTGCTGCGGCATTGTATCGTGCTAGCCCATTTCGAATCGCCTGGGATCGGGATTGGAGAGCCTTGGCAATATGCTTTCTCATTTTGTAGCCTGGCGACTTGTTAGATTCTAGCGATAGAGCAGGAGCGATGTCATTCCTACCTGTGCCAGACATGTTCATCTTTGTGAGCTCAAACATGCGCTTGAGGACAAGGGCCTCCAGCTGGTTGATGGACAGCCGATAGCGTCTTCGACTAACCAGGAGTGCCGCATCGTCCCACTCTTTGCTCTCCAACGTCCACCGTGGATCAATTCCCATCTTCGCCTCGCTCTCTTGAACATCTGCAAGCGCTCGGTCATAGCTCTCCTGTGCATGTCGACGTGTGGTTTTTGTTGACTTGGAATTCTCTGCACAACGTGTGTCAAATATCTCCCTGGTAATGGTGGTAGCCGTGGTAGTGGGAGAATTTTATGGTCGGTGGTAATGGTGGAACTTGTTAGAATAGTGTGTATAACGCCGAATGATAGACGCACCGTTTATCCATGAGCTTGATCAACCGATTCAGATACTCCATCTGATCAGTCTCCTCCTCTGGCTCCTTCCCAAGTCCGTTGAGATCTTCCTTTTCCTGCTCCAACCGCTCAGGAAACTCTGAGACATCTTGCACCCCCAATTGAGCCATCGCAACATGAAGTGCTGCCTCCCCGTCAAGGATTTCCACGGCTTGCATGTAATTGTTAACGAGGAAAGTACCTAGAGGGCGGACGATCAGCTGGGTGCTCGGAAGGGAAACAGAGCCCGGCTCACTGAGGTTCGCATAGGTATCAAAAGTATCGGTGTGTGCCAGGTAAGTGGAAATTGTCTGGCGCCTGTGAAAGACGCTTGCATATCGGGTTGACCGTGCTAAGGCATTTGACTTGGAAAAGAACCGCTCACAGCCCTCCAGGTCCTCAAGACCCATCCCAGGGACATATGTGGCTAGGAACGCCAGCTGGCAACGCCGATTATGGGCATGGCCATGGAACGCTCCCACTAGCGACTTGAAGTTGAGGTCTGCCGCCTTCTCTGCCATTGGGCTATTGCGCACAGTCGTCCCGAAGCCACATCCAATATCGTACCCACTCCCAACGTCTGGGCCAAAGGCATCGAGTAAGGCATCAACAATTGCCAGAGGATATTTCGCTCTGGAGGGAGATTAAAATATGTACCACCAATACCACCAATACCACCGTTAACACTTACAGTTCTCCACTCCTGACCATGTCCGCCACGAGCAGCACAAATCCATGCCGACAAAGGGATAGGAAGATACCTGTTTCATCGAACACTCCCCACATCCTCGACGTCAAGTCTTCATTGAGATTCTTCCAACGCTCTTGGCACTCCCCATTATCCTCTGGGTTCTCACTCGTCTGGAGATAAAGAAATTGAAAGAGTGGCATCAGGTTTGAGCGATAAAACTCACGGGCACGGTGACTAGCCCCTTGAGAACCTCTTTTGACCACTCATTGACCTTCTCCCGGGTGAGAAAGTAGCTCCCCCCAACGTCTGCCGTCCTGGGATCCGCCCTTTCACTCTGGCCCCGCGTGGGGTTCCCTTCATTGTCAAATGTCTTGTCCTTTCTCAAGACGCGCTTCAAAGAGTCGTTTCCGTCCATCGTGGTAAGCATGGAAAAGATAAGCTGTTGTTCTCCTTCGAGCTTGTAGGTGCACGCGGGGCAACAGTTTTTGAGCCGGTAGTCTGGCGCATCTCGGCCGAGGGCTTTGGCAACCCTTGCGTCCACAGTGGCGAGGGTTTCCAGATAGAGATCATAACAGATTGTGAACTGCTGAGAAAGATACGGGATGTAGGCTCTC